GAATCCATATTACAATCAGAAGTTAGCTTCGAATAAGAGGACAGTCTCGACTTATCAGTGGTTCATTGTGCTCTTCAATTGATTTATTATATATTTATTTATTATTGGTCGACAAAAACGAGTGTATTTCTAAGTATTTAATACCTCAAATTATGAAAATTAAATGCTAAGAGCCTATTAGAAACAAGATGCATTTTGCCGCCACAATTCTCAAATGTTGTTGAACTAATTTAACGACTTTCAAACTATTTGCTTCTGCTTCGAATTGTGAGATTCTAAATTTATAGAAGACTACCTTTTGCCGATGCACCTGCAGGAGCTTCAATGACCTCCATTAAAAACTTGTGCAAGACGCTAGAAAATCTAATTGGCTTTATTAATTGACAAGTCGTCCGTCGAGTAGCGTTGATTGCGATACTAAGTACAAGTTGTGTACACCTTATGAGAGGCACACACCCAACCACATACCCCACCTCCGCATCTAGTAAGCCCCACGACAGTGGGGAGGCCTCGACAGAGTTGTGTTGCCTTCCCAGAACCCGGCTAAATGAGGGGTTGTGGTTGTCGCAGCGACTGCTGTCGTGCTTGGCTGCTCATTTATGACCATAGAGCACAGAGCGTAGAGGCAGTGAGCGAGTGCATGTATCTCAAAGATACACGCACACACTTGGAGTGCAATGCCTAGCTTCAATCAGAGCTGTGCTTGACGCTTCAGTGATTGTCGAGCCACTCTTCTGCTCTTTACTTGCCAGAAATTCTTCTTGTTTTCTTCGTTTGACTGTGATTTCGAGTCCACAAACTAACAGTTGGGGTTATGTAGTCACGCCTGAAGTGCACAAAAATTGTACATGAAAACAGGGCTGAAATCGCCTTCAAGTTTAAACTTCAAATTTTATGTTATATTATTGACAAAACTAGACTTTTAGGATTGTCAAAGCTAGCCGAAACTTCGCCTGTTATGCATAAAATGCGGAATTAACATTTGAACAGCAATAATTCATTCATTTATTAGCCCTTACTTAAAACTCATACTAAGTTTAGACTGTAATCTAGCAATGGAATTGCCAAGGACCACAAGCAAATGCTCAACATGCTCTAGTATCCATATTTTATGGATTTACATGGATTCAAATAACTATGTGATACATTATTTTAGTCGTGGGTCTCTTTAATTTTTCCCGCGGAAGGGAAATCGGGAATTTGGCCCGGCTATGTAGGCCGCTAAAATTGGAAAAGTCTTGAATGCACATTTTTTATACCCCTGCAGAGGGCATTATAATTTTGTCGTGAAATGTGTAATGCATAGAAGGAGACAACTCCGACCCCATAAAGTATATATATTCTTGATCAGCATCAACAGCCGAGTCGATGGAGCCATGTCCGTCTGTCTGTTTCTATACGAACTAATCTCTCGGTTTTAAGCTTTCTTTATAAAACTTGGCAGAAGAACTTCGGAACCAGCTGGATCGGACCACTATATCATATAGCTGCCATACGAACGATCGGTCGAAAAGTAGGTTCTTGCATGGAACACTTTTCAGTTTTTTTCAAGATATCTTAAACATCGGCGTTAACTCTTTTCCCTGTGCTTCTTAGATACGGGAACAGCACTATAAGTATTATGAAAAGGTTGGGTCTGCAAGGGTATTAGATCTTCGGCGTGCCAAAGATAGCCTTTCTTTCTCGTTTGTTTTCCAATCGGGCTTCAAATGAATTTCATAATCCTGTGCAACAAGTTTTATTGATTGTCAAGGCTTTTAATATTTAATTAATCATCAGTAAAAACTTTTTGTGTGCTTAAATTAGCAATTTTTTTGCTTTTTTGTTTTCTTTTAAACACGGTTGGCGATTTAATTAGTGTAAATCGGTTGCGATGCATTATTTATCATTTCCGACACTAAGGTCAATGTATCTGAGCGAGTTTTGAGACTCATTACAAAACACTCGAGTTTTTAAATAAGTTTGAAATCGCAACCGATTCAATACCTTATATATATTGCACACATTTTAATCTTTATAAATATAAATGTTTCTCCTGACTAACTGGCTGACTGACTAATCCGTGACCAGGTGCTCAGCGCACTTGGTTACCTATTGTGAAGGGGTTGAACACTAAGACGCGGTTTTGCGCAATTCCACCCGCATGTGTGGAAAAACAACGGAAAACAGTTGTAAGATATATTTTTAATTATCCGATTAACCTTAAACTTGTTGTTAATAAAAAAGTGGATCATAAGTTTATTGCACATTTTTAAGGTTTTTTCTTTGATTCCTAATTATCTCATTAATAATGAATACCTGTTTCAGAGATTTCGAAAAATTCCACCCGAAACAGTGGTTTACAATCCGATCGGATTAAAAATCTGTGAATATTTGTTGCAAAATTAACGTCTCTTGAATGGAAATTGCGGGTCGAAATTTGAACGAACGAAAATTTATTGTTCGCTTTTCCAGACTTTCACAAGACATCAGACATGGGAGGAAACTGGTGTTTCATTCAAGAGACTCTGTATATTTTTCAATATTCACGAAGTTATAGATAATACGGGTAGATTTAAATTTTCCACAGGCGGTAACTAAAGTTATATCTAAAACATTGAGCTCAAAACTTACAGCGACCAAGGCCGGGGAATGCACGCTAATGCAATATAAAACACATTTAGTCGAGCTCAGGTTACTTAGATTACAAATATTTTAGAACGAATTGCGAATAAATCTATTTATGAATTGGCAAGCTGAAATTCTACTCAATCTATAAAAAATAACGATACGAAGGGGTTAATAAGAAGTCCAACTCATTTCATGACTAACTTTTTGCGACTAAGCAGACCAACTGTACATTTGCATAATCTAAAATTAAACAAGTAAGAAGCTCTAGTCGGGAGCTGCCGACTAGGGGATACCCTGAACCCTCTTCTTCCAATATCAAATGCATATATATATTCTATTTTAGAAGCTATATGTCAAGTTTGGTGACTCGAGCTCTTATTATTTACCAAAATTTCCCAAAAAACAGGATATCGATATCGATTTTTATCGATTGCTTGGAAACGGAGTAAGTTATCGATTATCGGAAGCAAACTCGATCTGCGCAGGCACTAGGAGGACCTATATCTAAAATTTCAAGTCTCCAGCTCTTATAGGTTCCGATATCCTTGCGTTCAGACGGACGGACAGACAGACGAACATAGCTAGATCGACTCCGCTATTGATGCTGATCAAGAATATATATACTTTATGGGGTCGGAGAAGCTTCCTTCTGCCTGTTACATACATTTACATTTTGCACAAATACAATATGCCCGTTCTACCCATTTTCAATGGGTTCAGGGTATAAAAAAGAAAAATACTAGCTAAATGCAGAGAGTTCTTCTTATTCTACTTATATGCTAGCAAGATAAAGCTGCGTACCTCCGGAGTGGGATCCCGCCCGCGCACTAACCTTACCTAATCAGGTCATGGCAAGCTAGTTGACGGCAATCCCATGACCAGCATCAGACAATGGGAAAGGTCGCGGAAGCCCGAACGAACCAGTAAATATTCAGGGGATGCAGTGTGCAAAGCAAACGAGCGATAATCCCGACCATATGGTAAAAAAGCCACACGCACACGCACACACACACGCACGCACACAAGTACACAGAGAGAAAACGTGTAACAGAAAAGCAAATGCAGAAAAAAGCCCCGTTTAAGGTTTCATGTAAACGGAAACGGAGCAGCAAAAAATGTTTCGTTGTTGATGAAACTTACAAGCACATGCAGATGTACGTACATAAGTATTTACATACATGTACATGCGTGTGTATGTATGTAAGTTTGCGTGCACACGAAATTGGCAGAAATAAAAGCGCCAACGCAGACCTGCAAAGGAAAATCAATAGTACGGCATTTTTTTCTTTTTTTTTGGCTTTTGGCTTCTTTTCTGGCACCAAAAAATGTGTCATGGAGAGGAGCGCGAATAATTGGAGCAGATTTTTGCTTGTGGAACACAAATGTATGCCTATAAATAATTGCCTGTTTAAAAGCCAACTCACCTGTTTTAATGGACTTTGTGACTTTGCTTCAGCTTGAGTTTTTACTCGTTAATTTGTTTTTGGCTCCGCGTTAAAGTTGAAGTTCACGCGCAAAAATTTTACCAAGCTCAAAAAGCTTTAAGATATTTGAAACACACCGCCGACCTGCGTATGCAGATGTATGTGTGTGTGTGTGTGTGTGTGCTGCTGTTTCGGGCAATCGTACAGTGCAAATACACACAAAAAAGGCATGCACAGCTTTAACTCCAGTACACTTGGTCCGATTACACAACACCAACGTAAAACTTCACGGTCCGAAACGGAGTTGTGCGAAAAGGCGCTGCCGATAAATCTCGGGCTGTTTTAATTATTATTTTACTTTTGCTTCTGCTTCTGCTTGTGGTCGCATTAGCACATTTATTTTAATAATTTGTTAGCTGAAGTCGATTGGCGGAGTTTTAGTTTTGTCGAAATGTACACCAATGACAGCACCAACACAAACTCACACATGCACACATAAATGTATGTATGTAAAACACACAACACTGGCGTCGGCCGCCCTCCACAACGCAACAACCGCTATAGGCGAGCGCGCACCAACAACTGAGCAGAAACCGAAACCAAAGCCGAAACCAAAGCCGAAAACGAAACAGCGAATAAAACACAACGTACCCGACGTCGACGCTGACACGGGCTTGCTTCGCACGGGAGCTGGGAGACCGGATTGAGGGGAGCACTTTTGCGTTAAGCGCGCTCAGCTGAGCGTTGTTCGAATTTCGAAAGAGCTTTTGACAGCAGCAACTTCTTCGGCATGCAACGGTAGCGGTAACGGTACAATGAGCTGAGCTGTGAATGCCTAGCAAAAATGCAGCTCTGTCTGACGATGCTGCCAAGCTTTTTCAAATGTGAAAGCGCCACTTTTAAATAATTTGGAATATTGTTTACTTTATAAATTTTGTCGTCTATTCACCAAAAACTATGTAAATATAAACAAATTGTTAAATTACATTGGTCGCCGAACATCTTCTAAAGCTTCTTCAATGTTGATTATGTCACCCAACCGAACAGGACCTTGCAATAGGGCAAAATTGGGCAACAACATTAACATAAAGCATGCATTTTTAAATCACTTACCTTTAACGGCTCTGAGCATTTGAATGCGCGGAAACCTTAACAACTCCACACGCACCGCAGTCATAAGGCCACGTGCCCCCACGCGACCTAGGACTTTAACGACTCTGGCCGGGGCGATGGGCGGTTCCATGCTCTAGATATTTTACAAAATTCCTCTATGATATGAAAGTTAGCGCAAAGATTATTATTACTAATGTATTGGCCTACTAAACATTGAGAAATGTAAAATGCGTCTTGACTTTACACACATCGAAATCGGACAGCTAGGATTAACTAATCATTAATGAATACAGCCTTATTCAAATATTCATATTTATATTGTGAATACAAGCAACAATATCCTATAACTTAAAAGTTTCCCAAGTCTCTCGATTTTAAAATTATCGACATACAACTTTTTTTAATGAGGTATATTTGGCGGAAAAGACTTGATCGGAGAAACGAAAAATATATGCTTTTAATATAATAAAATATTAATTGTTATAGGTCGGAAAATAAATAATAAATATGATTTTTAGAACGTAACTAACCGTTACTAAATATTAGAGCTGGGATTTCTAGTTCAATTTGCTGAATAAGTTCATTTGTTCATTTTCTGGCCGTGAACTAAATCGGTCATTTAGTTCACTCGTTCAGCTATTCAGTCGGTCATGAACGATGACCTCGGCTCAGCTATTCAGTCGGTCATGAACTATTCGCTTAGTTCAGTTATGCAGTCAAATCAAAAGTGAAATTAAAATCCCGCTATCTTTTATGTATATTAAGAACTGAACATCTCAAAACAATGTATCGTTCAGGAACGGCTGAACTGCTGAGTTGCATACAACTTGCATGACCGACTGAACGAGTATCAAGAATGTATCGTTCATGACCGACTATATAGCTGAACGACTGAACTAAATGACCGATTTAGTTCACGAACCACTGAATAAGTTCAGTAGTTCATTTTAATGACCCGTTCAATTGAACTTGATCTGAACTAAACGACACAACTTTTCTAAATATACATAACACTTCGAAGAAATTGTCGATTTATTTGAGTAGATAATGTGGGCCAAGATTGTATTGACGACAGGTTCATTTTCGACCGGATATCACTGCTAGAACCGACTATAACTAGTCTATGTACTAGTGGTGTTTGGGCTACGAAAGATACCATTAGACTGGCCCATAATCCTTCCCAATTCAAGCCGCTTTAGTTTCCAAAGATCAAGCGAGAACAGGGAATGAAGGTTCCATAACTGGCTTTGGCCAGACTCTCCGACACTCCGTATCCGATAATAAAAACAATTGTTCTCTACAACCTTGAATGTGTCCTAAAAAGTCTTTAATCCTACAAAACTACATCTGAGATAGGTGAGTAAGTCATATCTATATTTAGCTGTGCACACTTTCAAATTTTCCGCGTAGTGTCAGATCCCTCATAATGGCGGCTAGCTCCTCGTCCTTGTGTGCACGCATATCATCGATTAGCGATTCTCTAAAGCCGACATCTCTGGCCGGATCCTGTGGCAATTCCTGCTTCTGTTTCTCCAGCTGCAATTGTGGCACCTCCAAGCTCAATGTCGCGCCAATGCGCTCCACACTCAAGCGATCAGACTCTCCAATGCCGATCTGGCTCCAACTATCCGTGCCGAACCAAATGGAGAGGGCTTCATTGTAGTCGGTGACATGTGCGCGAAACGGATTGGTGGGACTGCCAAAGCCCAGATGGCTGATGGTGTCTCGAAGCACCTTGGCCAGTTTTGGCACACTCTGGGAATAGAACAACACGGCGCCCCCGACAAGATGCGCCATGGAGCGGAGGCAGCGACAAATGTGCTTCTTCAGGGCCGGCTCGAAGTCCATGAAGACGTCGTATTTGCCGCCCACGAGCACAACGGGAAAGGGCAGCAAGTCCAGTGTGCCCAAGTCCTGTTTGACGTGCTTCACACGTTCCAAGGAGCGTCGCTCCATATCCTCACGCAGCTGTGGCGCTGCCAGCTGCATCAGCCGCTGGGCCGTATCCCGCAGTCCCTTATAGGCGCACTCCAGGTCCGCCCAGACACGCTGCGGCTGGGACAGATCGATTACGACGAAGACGGACAGCTGCTGCAGTCCATGTGTGCGCATGGGCACCTCCAGCAGCTGTTCCGCGTTGTCCAGTGATCCCAGCTCCCACACGTTCAGCACCTGGGGGGATCTGCCGGTGCCCGTGCGGCGACCATAACTGTATTCCAGGGCCACCGTCGGGCGCGTCGTGTGCTCATCCCGGTCAAAAAACTTGTTTATAGCCGTCGATTTGCCCTGTGCACAGATCCCCTTCTCGGTTATCTAAATCGCATCATGTTGCACATCGACCACTTACCACACCTTTGCTGCCCAGAACGAACAATGTGCGCTCCTTGGGCGCAGTGATGGCTGCCTCCACTTGGCGCAGGCGTTCCTGCTCCTCCGCCAAGCGACCGGCGATCTCCTGTATGCTGCCAGCTGCACTTAAGCTATTTTCGTTGCCCTTCTCAAACATCCTCTGCATTTTCGCATGCAACTTGTACAAAAACTGTGGTAAACGCATGACATAGAAACATATTGTTTGCATTTTCCAATTGTTGCCATGGCAGCCGGCCAGTGCTGCCCATGCATTTTTTTCCGGCAATCTGACAAAAAGTGTGAAAGTTAATGCACTCAAAAAAACATGTGAAAAAAGTAATTTATCTGGAAGTTACAAAACCTGCAGATGCTGCTGCCGCTTCTACTGACCCGATGGTACATATAGTACAAATATGGTACATTTGCATGTACAATAATTGTTATACAATTCAACAAGGAATTGTGTACCACATTTGACTTCATATTTTCTCCTTTCATATATAAAATAAGGCCTACCATTAAAACATTTTACTACAAAATAGTAATTATAAAAGATCTTTATTAAAATGAAAAACCATCCATTGTTGAAAAAACCAGATCCGAGCTACCAAGAGTAACCGTTTTGGTACATTTGTACCACATTTGGCAATGGTGTCTGTATATACTGATGTGGATACACATATATGGCCTCATTAAATATACAGAGGTTCGTGTCTAGGGAGCATGTTGATAGCATCTGCTACCAAGTACGTGCTTCCACACAAACGCGCACTGCTTGTATTACTGTAGATTTGTTTTCTCTAGATTTGTTGCGATGTAAGCAAAATATGGTTCTTTGTCGTTCAGTTCTTTGATGATTTAAAAAAGTTGATGTCTATGCTCAACGTTCTATATTCTAAGCTATGTTTTCCCAAGATCGATAGATGGCGCTATTTAACGATCACGTTTTGTGAGATAGCTAATAATAGAAATATGTTATTATTATTATTATATGGGAAGCCTGACATAGAGTTAATGATACCTTTTGAGCGGGACTGCCACAAACATTTATAATTTGAATTTAAAATTATTACAAATTAGCTGTTTAGACTTAACTAAAAATATATTTAATGTGTTTCTCTTTGCACACTGTGCGCTTAGCACACTGCTTGCGTGACATTTCTGTCGAAAACAAGTGGTGCTTACGTTCCATTGTAGAGAAAGTGTACTCTCCACATATGTGGTGATGATACCTATTGATGGCGCTTTAATTGTATGGTAGTAAGTGTGTTGTGCTATGTTTCTGGTATACAAAATTCACTTTGGCACGATAGGTGGCGCTCTCTACCTGCTTGATTTTGTGAAGCATAACTATTTATCCACAATTGATAATTTTGACTATGTTAAATTTTTCGATGTTGTATTTCTATCTTTTTTGTTTGTTCTATGTTTTAAAATTTAGTGTGCCATAAACATATTTGTTAACTGCTTTGCAGGCAGTTTCTCCTACTGAAAGCCAGGTGGCGTGATTCTAACAAAAAGGAGTAGTTTCTAGGACCGCAAAATGTTATTTGGAAATGCAACTTGAAAAACAAGAATAACTTTACAGTCAGCCTGAAAACCCCTTGTGGGCTGTGACTAAACATTAGTTATTTGATTTAGACTAGGTCATTGGTTGCACGAGGCATACATTAGATAGACGCTTTGAATGAACTCAAATAGAAAATGGTTGACAAATTTTCTGTTGTGAACGCCGATCCTCGAGAGCTCAAATATATGTATATTTCTTTTAAATTCCTTACAGCCCATTGACATTTGTGTGCATGCATGTGCATCGTGTGTCTTGCTCTCACTCAGGTAAACAACAGGCACACAAATGCATAAATGCTTGTATTCATATACAAACTTGTGTAAGTGTGCGTAAAGGGCCGACGCAAAAAGTACCCTGGACGGACACACCACCAATACATTTAAACGATCTGTTGACATTTCTGAGAGAGAATTGAGAGCACTGAGAGGAAGTCAAAGCAGTTGCCTGTGGTGGGAGCGAGATAAGGACTGACGAGATAATGATGTGACTCTCTCTTTCCCTTTTGCTCTCTGAGCAAGTGAGCGAGTCAGGACGATCAGCATTAACAAGCCGCCAGCTTCAGACGTTTCAAAGAGCGAAAAGCCAGCTGAAGAGCAACGATTAATGCTGAAATATTACGGATTTATATACTCTTTGTGGGGCTTTGGCTTTTGACAATATTACTTATATCTGTTTGAGCACGACTCCGTCGCCTCCGTCCATCCGGTTGATTTGCTTTTGCTTTTAGTGCTGCGCAGCATAACCGAGCGCCAAGTCATCAAACATAATTACTTTGCCCCAAGGCATGCGCCAATTGACATTTTGGTGGCAGCCCCCGCCGAGTCCGACAAACTCATTAGCTTGAACTTTAAATCGGGTCAGCTCCAGCATTCTGGCCTTGGGCTCCAATTGATAATGAAATTCGTCGGGTAGGCCTTTAGCTGAGACGCTGCACTTAGGACTCCTCCGGTCGATTCGAACTATGCAAGCGCCTCTCTCCCAGCGATAAGGTCCATGGCTCGAGTCTTGTTTTTGTTGCATCTCCCTCGTACTTTGTGGCCTGCCTCGGCGGTTGGGTTTTATTTGTATGCCCTGTGCCCACCGAAAATGAAGTCGACCCTCCGCATATCTCTTTAATTTCCCATTTGTATAAGATCTCACGTCTATATAAATGTTTATATGCCTTGTATTCCTTTCAAAACTGGCAAAAATTGCAAACGGATAATTGGAATGTTAAGAGATTTTCATGTTGCCACAGCCTAAGCCACCGAGCTGTGTACAGAGTATCTGCTAGTCGGGCACACTTGCTTGTTTGGCGTGCATTTCATTCTTGATTACATGCTCGCGGCCTCTGACTGCAACCTTGTAGTCGGTCCTTTTGGACTTGGTGCGTCTGCCTTTATATTGGCCGGGCTTATATCCTTGTGCTTATTTATGTAGATTAATCTAACGAATATCTCATTTCTATGATAACTTAACTGGTTGGTACCTGGCTTCTACCTGCTTTGCCGTTCGCTTTCACCACACTTTGTGCTCAGGTTAGCTAGTATAAGGGGCTACATTGAGATAGGAAGCGTGTGTTTCTTAAGTTATCCTGTTATCCTGCGCCAAAGCAAGAGTTCATGGAACTAGCATGCTTCTGCCGCACATCACAAGCTGTTCACTTGCATTTCTTACCTCAGCCCCACCCAAAAGCATTACATTCTTAAGAACTTCGGTGTTTCTGACTGATCTTCACCAAACTCAAATTTGTAAATAACGCGTATGACTAAAGATTTAGATATGTGTAAACTTCTTTATTATACTAACACACATTTCGGATAGTATTGATTATAGGATATAGGATATCCAAGGTATGATCCTTGCGAAATAAAGACGGTAGAGGACACTGGCTTAATTGTTAAGCTAGTCAACATTGCGATTGAGTCGAGACTGCGAACAGGAAGTTCGGCTCCCAAGTATTCCTGGAGAGGATCAGCTGTCCGAACCGATTGAGCTTGTAAAAGTTCTCTCAATTGCATGAATGTGAGCATCTGAAAACATAACTCAAACTTAAAGCGGCACTCTTATCCAGACATTTAAATTGTTATTAGATGAAAGGACGTGCAGACTCGAAGGAGTAGTAAGCCGAGCCATATTGTTTCTTGAACTCGTATCAAAGGCCCTGGGGAAAATTCTGTGTGACATCAAGCTGCAGCATACATACGGAAGTGTCACAAGAGAAGGTACTCAATCGGAACGGGCCATTCACACCAGGTGAACTCTGATCAAGTGTTTGATATCCCAAAGTGTTTCGGCAGAGTATCTAGGCATGGGTTTGGATGCGAGTGGAGACCCAAAGAGTGTATCAGCTGGCCGGCGAAATATGGATCAAGTCCTCATAAACTAAAACAATTCCTTTTTTCCTGTTCTGATTGAATCAATAGTTCAACACATGAGCAAGTAGATAAGCATATGAGTTCAAGCGCAAGAAGGATATTAGACGTCGACCTCGCCACTTGGGATTTGACTTTTGGATATTGCTCAACGCATTTCAATCGTGATAATCAATCCCTGCATTGCCGAAAGTTTTGAATATATGCACACATAATTTATACGCAGCGTTTGGGTTAGTTTGTGTCACGCCCGTGGGCGTGGCATGGCCAAAGGATGCGCTGACGTCATTTGTCATATGTCAAGAAAAAACAAAGCCAGAAGCTAAGTTGGCATGTGAAAAAAGTTTCAAGAAAAATGTCTGACGTACATAAGTTAAAGTTTAGCGTCTGCGGTTCCAGCTCCGTTTGTATAAGGTCCTGTGGATGTTGCATATATCTCGCAAGCTTCTCTGTTTGACATTTAAAAGAGCGGCATACATCATTTAAAGGGTACTCAAGATTGACGTTCTTATGTAGAGTAAATATATTAACACACAACTAATCCTGACCTGGGCCAGGCAAGGGCGGAGTGGCCAGCGAAGGTACCATCAAGGACTTTCGCCCTGTTGAGGGCGAGCCTCATCAAGCCCAATTCTTGTTAGTCCTGCAATTGTTGCAATCCCGCCGACTATATGTTAATCGATTTTGATGGGCTGTCAGGGCCTAGGACTGGGAATTGCTTCTTTTTTTTTAGCGCCAAGTTTGTCTGTCAGCTGCAAGGGGAGCTGCATTTTTTTTGTGACTTGTGAAATTATCGAAATTGTATTATGGAAATTTTATGCAAGCCATTTTTGGAGCAGCGCCTTGCGCATTGCTTTTGTTGTTGAAAATTAGTTTTTCAATTTGCCTTTGCATGTTGTTGAACAACAACAACAACAACAACCGAAAGCTGCTAGGACCCAGGGCGAAGTTTTTGCTTTGTGCAGCAGCCGACCAAGAGAAACGACAAGGACTCTGCGTCCCGAACTGGCGGCTCTTATATTTGCTGGCCACCAAGCACAAGTTATGTGCATATTTCTGGTAGTTTTGCAAATGTTCAATATGCAGATTGATTTCTATTCGTATTCGTATTTGTATACGTTTTGTGTGCAGCTATACTTAAACAGATCGATGTTAAACGGCGCCACGTGCCACTTTCATAAAGGCGAGCTTATAAGCGCTGCCCTCATCCGCAATTCTTAATTAAAAACCGCGCTACTGCGCCTTGCCCAGTGGAGCTATAGATAACACAACGTGGCCACCATCCAGCCATCCATCCAGCAGGGTCTAGTTTAATTAATGCCAGGAGCAAAGTGCTGCACGTAGTTCTGCTGAGGTGAGCAACTCAGCCCGATCAACATGCTGTGCCCGTAATGCTCTATGGTAGCAGGACGGCACGTAATTGTAATTTCAGTAGAACTCCTTTGACCTCCATTTGACCAGCATTTTATAGGCTGTGGAGCCCATATTTGGAGCTGTGCCGGAACTGGATAAAGACATTGTGGGC